AGTCCTACACTCAGTTAACTTAGACTATGCACTCAGGTTCCCATCGGTTAGGAATTATATTGATGGTAGTGACGGTGATGGTTCAGGAGTCAAGAGACTATTGAGATGGCAGTCACTACTTCCTTATAATATTTAGTTGTTTTTATATTGAGGGTTTTCATGATGAGGATTTAAAGATCTCCTCTTTTATTATTCTTAACTTTTACCTGAACTGTTTCTTTTGAAGCTTACAGTCAGCGGGATGCCCCAATTTTGTCTAAATCTCCTTCATAGGTTTTGACTTAGCGGACTTTTTCTTTTGATTTTTTTTTGAAAGAAAGTGACTGCTTAGCTTAATGATTACAGTGAACCATCATTGGCTTTTGACTTGAGACATCTTCGACGCTTGCTTGTTATGCGCGAAGGAAAAATTGTGAATGCAACCTTTATATGGAAGGTGTCTTGCATGAACACACAACCTAGTTAACTGAGAACTACCCATCCTAAGGTTATGATTATGGTTTCTTGTATAGAAGGAAACTCATAGTTCTATACCCGAAGGGGTTCACAAGGGAATAACTTCCTTATTTCTCCAGTGTTTGGGGGATTGAAACAATGTCTTACGTCTTCAACAAATTTTGATTGAAATTTGAAAGCATACCAACATCAATTATGGGTATTATGTTTTCCTCATCCTCCCTCAAATCTTTTCATAATCAAAAGAAAGTGGACATGAGATAATTTTTTTGAAAGAGAAAGCATAAAGATGTAAAAAATGGACAAAATAAATTGGATCAAAAGTTGAAATGCTCATTTCATTAATACGAAAGTACAAACATAATTTGAAATCAAATAGCTAACACAAATAAAGGAAAATACAGACGACAAGAAATATGGCCTAATGACTAATCAAACACAAGGATGAGTTGTCCTGTCTGAAACATTGGCTTTTAGGAAGATAGTATGCTGAAGTCGGCTGAAGAATAATATGGCGTGCCCTGGCATAGGATTGTTGTTGACATTAGGATTGGTGTCATGAAAGCTAAGGATTCCGAACTTAATCAAATCACACACTCTAGCCTTTAGTGCATAACAATTTTCCAAGTCGTGGCCTGCGACACCTTTATGGAATGCACAGTGGAGATCAGATCTGAACCCAGCTGGAAGAGGATTTAGAGGTGGAGGCAAAGTCCTTATGGTGACCAAACCTTTCTGAACCAGATTAGGATAAAGTTCAGTGTACGTCATAGGAATATGATAATATTGATTCCTATTATGGTACGCGGGACGTTGAGGAGCTCGAACAGGTCATGGAGCAGCAACCACATGAGTAACAACATCAATGGAAGTGTGATTAGCATACTAAGGTTTAGGACAAGGCATTCTCGCTTCAGTCATGACATCATTAGTATGATCTTCTCTCTTCTTCTGGAAGTTCCCATAGGATTTCTTCGCACCGTTAGAAGATTCAACGACCTTAGATACCTTCCCATTCTTGAGACCTTCTTCCAGTGTTTGACCTATAGTCACCAGATCTATGAAGCTTAAGGAAACACTGCCAGTCATCTTTTCCCAATAGAATGGAAACAAGGTGTCCATAAATATTCCAGTGAGTTCCTTCTCGGCCAAATAAGGTCCAACTTGAAAAGCTAGTTCTCTCCAACACTGAGCATACTCCTTAAAAGATTCCTTCTCATTTTATGCCATATTCTAGAGTTGGCGACGATCTGGAGCCATATCAAGGTCGTACTTATACTGTTTCATGAAAGTATTGACAAGATCTTGGAAGCAGTGGACACTATTTTTTTCAAGGTTCGTGTACCATTTGAGTGAAGCTCCAGCCAAATTTTCCTGAAAGCAATGGATGAGCAGCTTCTGATTGATGGTATATGTAGCAATCTTTCAGAAGTACATGACTAGATGAGCTCTTGAGCAAGAGTGACCTTTGTACATTACGAACTCGAGAGTTTTGAATTTAAAAGGCATAATAATACCAGAAACTATGCACATATTGTCTGCATCCATATTGAAGAAGTCAGTACCCTCAACGACTTTGAGTTTCTTATCTATGATCTGAAAGTGTTCACGAATAACCTCAGGCTCAACAAAATCTTCACGGTCTTCACCCTGAGCACTGGCAGCATTGTAGTCAAAGAAAAAGCTTGAATAGTCTGGGCAACAATGTGGACAACATGTCTGGACTCTGCGAAAACATGAGCTTGGAATACTGGTCTGACAGTCTAACCAATCATAGCAGTAGATGCATGAGGTAGAAAGTAGTTAGAAGGTAAACCAAAGTTTGGCAAAGTGGTAGGTGGCACCTAAAGAGATTGAGGATCAGTGCTTGCAACTTCTTGGATAACAGTCCTTTGAGGTGGTTCCCCTCTAGCATTATGACTTGGAGCATCTCGGTGAGCTTAGTCATGTCTGATTTCAAATCATCGATCTCTATTCGAATCTCTACATTATGCACTTCTTGCTCTGACGTTTTACGTCTGTAGTTACCTCTAGTCTTCTATCGGTGTCGAGGACTCAGCTTGACGACTGACAGATGACGCTAAAAGATAGAAACAATTGGAAATGAGTGGTTGGACAAACAAATGGTATGCAATGGATCATGCAAAAGATGCAAATGATATATAATGCGATATGAGACCGGATGCAAACCACATATAACATGATCAAAGATTCAAGATCACGACATGGAGTCTAGGTGAAGAACCAACCACAAGGTGTGTACTAGGGGTAAAACACCTGCACAATGGGTTCTAACAAAGTTCTTAGAGCCATCGATCTATCTTTCAAATATTATCGACACACAAACTACTTGGAAATCAATAATATTCTCAAGAAAGTCTCGTATAAGTGTAGTATCACGTATCGACTACTTCGGGTCTACACCCTCATAGTCACCACACTACATCCTAAGAGGCCATGTGGGGTAAAAGGTAACTAAAGATCCTTAGTGTCACGGGCTCCTAGATCGAAAGTAGTAATGCATTCATGACTACTCGTTCAACAATACTACTCATTCTACACCCTCATAGTCACCGCATTACATCCTAAGAGGCCATGTAGGGTTAAAGGTAACTAAAGGTCTTTAGTATAACGGGCTCCTAGGTCGAAACTAGTAATGAATTCACGAACACTCGTTCATCAATACTACTTCCAAGAGGGTCTTAACTGAGCAGGGGGATCTCAAGTCAACTTTTTCGGGACTACTCTCTCAAAGTATTCTTGACTATACCCACCATCCTATCATAAGTGCACTCAAGTTCGGGTATAAGACTTATCTCACCATTCAAAAGGTTTTTCACGTCGAAGTGGTTTCAGAATAATGGAAGATTGATGATGGAGTTTGGTGGGTTTTTTCACGGTGGAATATAAAGGACGGTGGTCGAAAATGATGGAGGGAGGGTGTTACGGTGAGCGGTTGAAGTGGAATGTAGCTAGAAGCAAAAATAAGCTTCTTCCACGTTTTGGTTTTTTTTTTCTTAATCTTTTCTTTATTGTTTTTTTGTTTTGAAATGGAAAAGAGAAAAAAAAACGAAAGTATGAGATATGGGAGAGAGCTTTGTTCTTCACCACTGTATATTAATCAGAAGAATAATACCATTCTTCTTTATCTATTTTTTCTTTTTTCATTTCAAAAGAAAGAAAGATCTATTTTTGTGTGGATGTCACTGAATAGTTTGTGTGGTTTTTTTAGCTTTATGTGAAGAGTTATTATGAGATGAAATATGTGAAAGAAGAGTGTAAAATGATGGATGCTACAACGAGGGTAAAGAACACAAGTGGAAAAGTTGTGCTAATGGTGTCTTGTGTGTAATGATTATGTGCAGGAAAAATAAATAAAAGTATTCTGATATCTTTTTTGGTCTTATCAAGTGTGTGATACTAAAAAAATGAGGAAGTATGTGTGAAGTTTCCTGTTCATGTGCTGGAAGTAGTACAAAATATTTGTTAGCATGTAAAGAGGTAGAGCATGAATTGGTCTGCATGAGACATATGCATGCAGTAAATTGATAGACTTCTTTCACAAAAATGAAAAAAAAAACAAAATTTCTTTTTAAATTTTAATTACTAAGTTTTTCTAATATAAGTAAAAAATAAATAAATTCAAATATCATTAAAAATAAAAGATTAATAAATTAAAAAATAAAAGTAAACTATTAAATAAAAATTAAATTAAATTAAGAGTCAGATTAATAAAAACTAATTTTTAATTAAAAATTAAAATAAGATCAGTTTAAAACTAATATATTAATATCAGAAATAATTTATTTTATTTATATTTGAATGGTGTAATCGTCATTTCAAAATAATACTAAAATCTCACAAAATAGATTCATAAAGTCTTTAAAATTATACAATTAAGTAATTTTATAATTACCGGAATTTAAACAAAAAATAACAATAATAATTTTGATACAATCAAGGTATAGTTGATTATAAAGATATTAATTTAGAAATTACGAATATATTATTTTAATTTAAATATAATAATACTCATATACATTTAAAATACAACAATAAATTATTAAAAATAAGAAAAGAAAAAAAATCAATAATTTTATTTCTACTACAAAATCCTAATGTTTTTTTTTTATATGTTTACGGGATTCCTAATTTTGTATTGCTATAAATATAATTATAAGAAAAACAATGATATGCATCGACAAATAAATACAGCATCCACCAAAAACACATAAGTATCACATAGAAGTGTTAATCCGCACATGCAAAACAAAAATAAAATCGGACCGTTAAAATCTAGTTATCGACGTTCAATATTATCTTGCACACAATACACGGATCTCAAATATAGACCATTGATTAAATTGAATCCAACGGGCGAATATCAGAGCACAAAGCTCATTTTCCTCTCTCCTCTACCACTCGTTCCGATACATATACTCCGATCCCCAAAGTTATTTCCCACTCGAATTCAAATCCAATTCTAAACCCTAATCTCTCAATTTCTTTCAGTTTCTCACGTTTTCTCACATTTTCTCGCGAAAATGTCTGGCCGTGGAAAGGGTGGTAAGGGACTCGGAAAGGGAGGTGCAAAGAGGCATAGGAAGGTTCTCCGCGATAACATCCAAGGTATCACAAAACCAGCTATTCGGAGGTTGGCAAGAAGAGGTGGTGTCAAGAGAATCAGTGGTTTGATCTATGAAGAAACCAGAGGAGTTCTCAAGATCTTCTTGGAAAACGTGATTCGCGATGCTGTTACCTACACTGAGCATGCGAGGAGGAAGACTGTTACTGCCATGGACGTTGTCTATGCTCTCAAGAGACAGGGAAGAACCTTGTACGGATTCGGTGGTTGAAGAAGAAGCTTTCGTTTGTTAATTTTATTAGTTTTAGCAATGTATTTGGCGTGTGTGATTGTAATATGAAATCAGAGCATACTCAATTTCCGCGGGTTGAAATCGAAATATAATGAAACCAGTATTGTTGTGATCTGTGATTCTAGTTTATTCTTTTAGTTTCCTATTTTCATCATATTTTCAAGAATTTGAGTTTTTTTATTGCAATAGTGTTCTTTAAATCCTAGATTTTTATTAATTGGTCTAGTTCAAAGTAATTTGCTTTTCCGCAGCAAATCAACAAATGTCATATGTAAACTTGTGAGTTTTTTTTTTGAGAAATCTTTTATTTAGATCGAGTGATTTGTCAAGATGTTATTGACAGCTTATGGGTAGAGATGGTTTATTCAGTTCTTGAAAAAATATACAAAGTTTCTCAGAAAAATTGGATGTATTGGCTAAATAAATTCAACAAGAAATTTGTTTACGTGGTTCTTCTGAGTAATTTGAATTAGTAATTGGTAGGTATATTTTAGACAATGTAATATTTGCATAAAAAATTAGCTTGTGTAAGATAAGGTAAGGAGTATCAACACTGGAGATAAACACAAGGAAAATGTAGTTAATTAACTGAAATTATTCTTCAATGTCAAACATATTCGGATGGTCTTATCAGGAGATTCACTATTCCATTTCAAATGATAAGGGTGTTTGCTGGTCACGTCTTTCGCAAGCAAAGCCACTTGATTCACATGACAAATCCAATTTGAAATCTATTCTGCTTTGAAATTAGAAATAGAGAGATATTGAATTTAACAAAGTAGAGCTTTCTTTGCTGCGTACATTCTTAAGGTTAAATATTTTGACACTTGAGTCAATATTTGAAAGAGTATAGAGTATTTAAGTTGTATTTGAAATTTGTTACTTTAAATTGTGCCATTTCTTATATTTAGAGGGAGAGAATAATAATTTCGCTATCTTCCAAGCTTGGAGTGCGAAGTACCATTGGATGTGACTCAAACGTTGATTTTTTGTAGCAAGATACATAATATTGCATAGGTAATAAGAATTTTCTATAAACATGACCAATTAATATTCTGTAGGTAATAAGAATTTTTTATAAACATGACCATGTAGTCAGGTGATAGGTTTTGGCTCGTTAACTACCTATTTCAGGATGGTCGGTCTGAGGGGGATATGGTAGCATAATAACATTTGCCCCAAAGACTTTCTGAGAGCTCCGAATATCGGGAAGTCTTTAGTGACTCTGATCGACTTTTTGAAGATTTATCTCCGTCATCGCTCTAGAATCGAAATGCTTAGAGTTTACCGCAGAAGCATATTCACTGCTTTCTTGTCACTGATTCGTTGCCAACACGTCACCCTAGGTATGCAGGTTAGACAATGGTTGCCCTATCTAGGATACTTAAGTGCCTTTTACCCTTGTATGGATTGATGGGACAAGATGTTGATTTCCCTTAGATTTTTTTTCTGTTATCCGATCTGAACCGTTGAACTTCTATCACCCTTTCTTACAAAAGCTTGATGCTATACTCCATTTTTCTTCTTTTTCGTTGTTACCACATACCAATCTATTGTCCTCATATTACTCTGCCCTGCTTTGTGAACTTAAATCTTTGCTTACTTAATCGATTTTAATGGCGGAGATCGTATGGGAAGTTACTCTTGGGTCGAGCTAGAGTATTTATCCCATAAATATACTTTCACCAAAGGAGAAGAAATGCCATTTGGTTCTTTGGAAATAAGAGTTTCCCCTAGTTGGGGTATTATATCGATTTCAGATGAGAAATGGATATTTCATAAGTTTGAAGGGTGTTCTGTCCCCTTTTACTCCTGTATTTTACGAAATCCGGGTGTTCATATTGTTCTAACTTCTATTGAGAAGGAGGTTTTGGATCATTTTTTCTTTCCCTTTCGTAACTTCATCTATGTGCTTGGGGTTTTGTTCATGCATTCCAGTATTGATATGAATACCAAGGAAAAACAAATTCAACTTATCGAGATCTTTTTTCCACCTTTTTGAAGTATGCGACCCCCTAAGGATACTATTGGCCACATACTCATTTTTCTTCGTCGTGCCAAAAAACAGATCTTCAAAGTCTATACTGACAAATGTAAGTATTTTAAAAGTGATTACTTACTGGATAAACCTATTTCTCCCCTTTCTCATGAGGAATTTTGTGTCGTTCCTCCCACCTCAGTCAGGAAAATTGAGTGCACAGACCGAAGACGTTAATTATGGTTTGGACCATTTTTTCAAAAGTGCCAAATATTATTGGGTCTCCTCTAAAGCTCTTAACAAGGTAGATAGGTAAATGAAAGCGATTTTGCTATCTTTTTTAATGATCTAATATTCTGTATGGAAGTGGCGGAAGCTAATTTTGCAGAGGGACGAAAAGAGGTGTTTGGTAAGTTATTTTATTTCTGTCTCTTTGTGGGTGTATGTATTTATTCAAGCTTCATTTGTTGTCTTTCTTATCTTTGCATATTGGTACAAGAAAAGTCCCATTTGATGCAATCATCTCTATACGAGAGCCCAAGGTCCATCCGCCTGTTCTGACTCCTTCAAAAAGTCGGTCCAAGAAGAAACTTGATAGGGCTGGTCCGACTATACCCGACCATGATCGAGTATAGAGGTCGAGACAAGTAAAAGTTGAATCAGTGGTTGATGCTGCTAGAAGGGCATTAAGTGTTTCTCCTCGTTTGCCTTCCATGCTGGCTAGTTCTTCCCCTCAATAATGGGGAAAAATGAATAACCTTATGACTGCCGATGACTATGCCTTTATTATCCACCTATCTCATTCCGGCTGGTGTGTTATGGTAAAAGAGATAGCCACCTATGTGATGAAGATGATGCCTCACCTTAATCAGTTAGCTATCGACCATGAGGAGTTTTTGACGCCTTTTGCTTTATCATATGAGGTCGAGTTATTACAGAATCATTGCAATCTTTCTGGGGTAAATAAGGTAGGCCTGGAGAGGGAGTCTTTGTAGACGCGGGGTTGCGTAGAATGAGTTTTTCTTCTTTCTGAAGAAGAACACCTTCATGGGTCTCCAATTGAATTGGCTGGACAGGTGCAGGGTCTCAATGGCCAGCTTAAGAAGATGGAGGATGATGTCCACCGTGGTGAGCTCCAAACAGAGATTGTGTATACTATTATCTGGATCACTGAAGAAAAATCGGATGGATGAGAGGAAAGCTTAATGAAAAAGGAAGAAACTCTTTGGGCCAACAAGTTGTGTTGGATACACAATTACAATAATATTTGGATGACGATCCTTTTAAAAAAGGTCACCTTTTGTAACATGCGATGAAGCTTTGGAAATACTATCCTCATGTCTGGCAAGATGGGTCATGCCTTTGTACTGCGCTCCGCGTCACAGAGGATCATTCCCTGGTCGAGGGTAGATGATCCTCATCTCTACCCCTAGGTATAAATTGGAATGAGTTGGATGTATCTAGGATCTACCACTACGTCCCTTAAATTGTCTAGATCGGAAGGGGGTTTCCATCTACGCATATATGCGTGTATTGATTTGAGAAAGGGTATTTGATTGCTGTAATTGGACATGCAAAGTGTCTCTGATAGAATTCATGGGGGAACTGTTTGCTGTAGTCAGACGTGCAAAGCATCTCTGACAGCTCGCCTGGACTATCGAGGTGTGCTCGACGCTTTGGAGATTTGATTGCTACAGTAAAACATGCAAAGTTTCTTCGACAACACCTCATGTCTTTAAGACTTCTGACACCCTAAAGAGGGGAAAATAGACAAACAAAACGAGCAACCAAAAAATAACACAAAGGAATTGTATTCATACATTTATCAGTTTTCATAATGGCGAGGTTATATAAAGAAAAACATTGAGCTCTCTATTTAACTATATTACTGTTTCAATTTGGCTATGTTCCATGTTCGCAGTATCTTTTCTCCTTCTAGAGAATCCAACCGATATTCTCCTTGCCGAGTGATTTTGTTTGCCTAATAAGGTCCTTCCTAGTTGCTGCTAGCTTACCATCATGGGTGTACTTGCCCCTGATGTTGGCCCTTCATAGTAGGAGGTTCCTCGACTAAAATTCTTTATGCCGAATATGGAAATTATACTTGGCACCTGTGGCCTGCTGGATGATGGCATTGGTTAAAGCATTCGCCATTCTTTTTTCTTTCAGGAGGTCTATTTCTTTTATAAGGGAGAAATCATTAGTTTCCTTAGAGAGGGAGTTAGCCGTCCTCCACGCCAGTTCTTCAGTTTCTACCGGGATGAATGCTTCCATCCAATTAGCCATAGACCTAACTATACTCTTCATTACCTAACATCACGTGCTTCATCAGACTCAATTTCTTCATCGACATTATGCACTTATTTGTTACAACATTTTCTTGAGGCTAGGTAACACTCACAATAGTCCTTCTTTTCTTGATGTTGGCAGTGAGAACATCATCATCTTCATAAGCTTGATAAATCTACACATTCCTTTTACTTTGAACCTCAGCCTATATATTTTGATGGTTCTCATTGAGGATATCATCAGCAGTATCTTCAGTGGAGACTTAATTATCATTAAAAACATTATTAAAAAGCTTATCAATGACAGAAGTATCAACATAGTGACCATCAACCATGATAGAATTATCACTAGGGTTTGCTTTAACACGTGGTTCATCAGTGGATTTAAGCGTTTCACCAACTAGTACGGAAGTGGGTTCAACCCGTGGGCCACCAGATGTTGGAACAAATGTTTCAACATTTGGTTCAACATGTGACTCAACATGTGGTTCCTCAATAGTGGTTTCAAAATGATCAATGACTTTCTCAATGGGGTTGGAATCAACTTCCATAACAACATTCACAATTCCAACAAGATCATGAACACGCGCAGATGGTTCCTTTTCAGAGGTACTAAACTTTTAAGATGTTTCCTTCTTTTTAATGGGCAACACTCTTTAATTTATCTGTTGAAATGTCACTTGGAACAATCATTTTCAGTGGTTTTGGGTTTA